TATATGACTGTGAAGGTTTACAGAATATCCTGCATCACATATGCAGGGAATGAATGCATGCTTAAGTTTACATAATACATTTTTTAAGCTACATAATACATTGCCATATTTGCATTATGGGTCTATTTAATCTGTGCTACTATTTTGTTTAACAATTCACCCAAGCATATCTGACAAATAGTTATCAGAAGTATTTATCCCTGTTTAATCCATTAGTACTTAATTAAAGGTAGGGTAGGTAATTCACTTCAGAAACACTTTTTGTTATATTCCATGGAATGCTCTTAACATCCCGATAGCAATGAATAAATTAAATGCTTTGACAATAAATATACAAATATTTCATCTGTGGAAGCCGTGGCGCTGTAAAAAGCAAATCCAATTATCTGAGTCGGCCCGGCTAAAATAACTGGACGACCTACCTGCCTGTCAGCCTTCCATCTCGTGCACAAACTTATCTCGTGCCCTCATTGGTCATGTGCGCGTTCATGTGTGTTGGAGGAGGAGCTCTGTAAGGAAGTCTGAAGGAAGGGGCAGATTTGTTTCGGTTGTGTACTTTCAAATTCTAGCGCACTCGAGCTGGTTTCTCCATTCTTACCTACCCTACCTTTAAGTGTAAAGAACTTGAGAGTAAACTGAGATGGTGTATTTTCAATTGGGATTTCTTCAGGAGCTCACAAAAACAGTGAAAGAATTTTTTTAACTTTTGTACTGTTCCCATTCTCCAAAAAGTAAACTTTTAAAAACTGTTCCAACTTCTTTGTAGATGTGCATTTTAGTACATTTGCATGTTTATATAACACAAATCCTACGCCAAGAAATTATAACAAATACAACTGCTAAGGATACCAATAAATGTGGATTATTCTTAAATTAGGCACAAGGACTGCTAACTGCCCACACTGTGACAGCAGCCTGCCAGAAACTAAAGTCTGGGTGTAAACACGACTCAAAGAACCCTGTTTGGGTTTGTCTCGTGAGCAGGTGCAAGGATCTCTGTCAAGTCCTGCAGTTCCCTCTGACGCCTGTGTGCTGAACACTGTGGGCTCAAGATAAATCCAAGCCAAACAAGCCATTTTAGAATCTTATCTGAGCAGTAAGAGAGGGACAATGCTTCTGTTTCAGTAAAAATAGAAGGATGATGTTTGTCATTGCAGTGAGCATACCATAAAGAAACTAGCACTTATATAAGTTGGCAAACTCACATGAGGCAGATTTTAAAAAGGAAGGTCAAATTTGAAGTGGCAGAGGCCAAGACAAGAAATGAATGTGTTTTTAAGGTGTTCCTAAATATTGTGTAAGAGAAAGGTTACTTACAGACACAAATTATATTAAGTATTTTACAATTAAACTACACAAATGACGTTGCTGAGGGGTCCAAAAATATGTTAACAGCACCCCAAGTAGTTTTTCTTTCATCTTTTAATCATTTGAAGAAAACCAAGAAGTCCTTCTTGTTTTCTATTCCAACCAAGTGTTCTGAAAATCAGTGCCATCTTTATAAATACAACACTTTTGGACTGCTGAACATTCTTTGTTGTATTCTTCATCTTTGTATCTGTTAAATATATCTACATTAATATGTTTACTTAACAGATCTACAACACCTGCTCGTTCCAACCCACCAGTTTGTGGTGGGTGGAGGAAGTGTTAATATATTATTCATTTGTTGTCGCACATAAATTATTGCATGTTAATTTGAATCAATAAAAGAGCTGGGTGACTAAAAGGGAAAAATCCTGTGAATTCCTGCATGCAGGCGGAGATTCAGATAAATCTGTGGAGCCTGGGAAATGTTTATAAAAAGATTTCGCCCTTGCAATGAATCATTGTCTGCCTTTATCGATAACATGTGGACATTATATAATAATTGTAAGGTAGGCTGGAAAATGTTTGACTAACAAAAGCAATGGCCTAATATAAAATGCATTAAATACTGGGATTGGTTATACTTTGAGCTAAGAGAAGTGTTTAATCTCTGCTATAAATCTACCTGTTCAATCAGTCAGAGAAGGGCCAGTACAAAGATATACAGCTTCAATCACACGTCTGTCTGTGTCCATTCAACCTCCCCGAGCTACAGGAGTGGAAGCCCTAATCTTTAGCCACATCAATAATATGTACAGAGCACTGATCTTTGTCTCTGTGTTGACAAGACAGAGCGTGGCGTGTACTGCTGTCTCCTTTGAGGAATTGTAGGAAATTAACTGCTGCTACTCTCAGCTGGCTCGTCCTTTTTTTTAATAATCATTTACTAGATTACCCATCCCTGTCGCTGTGTCCCTTTTGGTATCGCCCTCTTTGTCTGTGTATGCTGAATGATTGCTAATTTATATCACTGAAAGCATTTGGTTGTCTGTATTTAAGGTCCCTGCACACTAGACTTTTGATAATGCTGCTCCCATATATTCTGACCTCACCGAAAACACATAAACTATCCAAAACATTTTAAGAATGTCTTTCCTTCTTAAAAGAAAGTGTGATTAGGTGTCAATTCTACCTGTCTCTAACACTCAAAACCCATCTTGACCACCCAGATTGTCCACAATGCTTCAGTCACATGACGTTGGTAATCCTGCCTGCAGGACTGAATCAGCCCCTAAGCCTTTCACATTGCAGATTAGCAGAGACTCTGTAAGTACCAGGGCTTTCCCCCACTTCCTGGAGCTCCAACTATATCTCACTGTAGGGCCATCTGCTCCACCGTGACCTGAGTAACCACAAATAGACCTCATTGGCTTTGTTACAGTGAACAGGTTTTTAATAGAAGATGGGAAAGACCTGGAGAGGATAGCAGTCTAGTGTCAAGTTTATAGATCAAGATTCAGTTCAAAGGACATTTAACATTTCAAGTGCTGTTTTGTGCACCTGTCTTGTATGAGGATGAGTATGATGGAGTGACGTAACTCTCAAAATAGTAAAGTAAAACAAAAGCTCTGTATTTTCCGTGCTCAATTACAGAAAAACAACAGCTTTGAAGCTAGGATATATTGTGGTCGTTTTATCACTGAGATAATTAAAGTGACTGTAGGTTGGATATTTTGTAGATGAAGGAAAGATAAGAGATGGAACTTTGTTGATCTTCATAAAGGAAATGAATGAAGAAATAAAGCAGTACAATAAACAAACCAGGGACATATGCAAGAGTAAATACAGATATTTAGGAAATGATACTTCATGCAATTAAAGATACATAATGGAAATGGTAAACCGTAAAATAACTAATACCATTGTGGTAAATAAATAGATAATTAATATTGTGTTAGTTCATATGAAATAAGAAACCTGTATATTTAAGGAAAATCAGGACAATATTTGAACATAATTAAAGCTCAAAAGTCTATACAACATGCATCTCTCTTTTACTGTTTCTGAGCGCTTTTCTAAGTTTTTATTTTACATTACATTTCCTTTCATTTGGAAAGCTTTTATCCAAAGCGACCTACAATAAGTGCAACAGCCATAGAGATTCAAACTCGGGACAAAGAGGAAAGTGCAGATATACAGTATTCACTTCAAGCAAGTTAAACCATTGTAAGTGCTGGTGAATTATACAAGGCCTAAATTGTTATTATTTGTATGCTTCTATTTTTTTCTCAAGAATGTACCAAGGAGCAGCAGCAAAGTGCATCTGCAAAACAGATGCATTTTCAGTTTGCAACGGAGAATCTGCATTTTACATGTGCCTCCATGCATCTAAGCTACACAGGACAAATAGTTTCCCTTTTTTCCCTGAAACACACATGGCTAACATGTTAAAAATAGAGCGTCTTGTCTTCTGCCCACCATTGTGCATAATTACGAGTCTTTGCTCTCCACATGCATGGCCAGCGATCCTATTACCTCCATGGAAACAATAAAGGGTTATGAGAAGGTGTCCACGGTAACCTGGTCTCCCTGGTGAAATCTCTGTCTGTTGCTCATATCCTCTAATAATGGATTATATTTGTAAGCCGCCTTTTTATGCCAGTCCTTACTGTCCCCAAAGACTGAGAGAGTGACTCACCTTTTTCCCTAAAGTGAGACTGATCTGTTGATTGCATTGTGGGAAACATTTTAGCGTTAGTTTGAGATTAAGTCTCAAGAGTTTGCATGTAATAATGAACATGCTTTACAAGTATCAGTCCATGTGGTGATGTGGTCATATATGTTGTACAGTATAACTGTTGTTGTTTAACTGTCTTATCGGTTGTCTCTTAGGTTGTGTACCTATATTTATTTATATATGTCTCTTAAACCTAGAGTCTATGAGATGGGTTCTATAAGTGTAACTTTCTCTCTGTCATTTGGTCTTTTTGCACTGCACAGCAGGTGTTGACAGTGGCATAGATTTATGTGTGCGCTGTTGCAGCCATAAAACAATATATTAATCAAAGTGCAACAGGCTATTTCTATTAATAGCTTTTCAAATGGGCAACACTTCCTACAGTAGGCGACTGCTTTACTGAGAAACAGGGACGTGCTGCTCTCAGGAAATGAACCACTGAGAAAAAGGTGTATACTCTGTTTTAAATTGTTTAAACTAACAAGATATCATTAATTAGCTCTATCCTGCTGCTGAAGAAAGCATATTCTTCATTCTAAAAAAAGCTTTTAATCAGTGTAATTTGCCTAAAATCTTGCTGAATGACATATTATAAACACGATTTTTTTTTATAAGTGAGTTACAAATGAAAGTAAAATGATAAATATAGATTTGAAGTGCCTTATCTCCTGCACCATGAACTCAATCATGCTTTCAGAAAATGATACAATGATGGATATAAATCAGTGTAATGGATAAACTGTAATTAAACGTCAGACTTTTTAACTGCTCTCAGAAACCACTGCTGCTACTAGGATTAAACTAAAGTGATGATGCCTGACTGATCTGACCATGATGATACGAGGTTTGATCCTAAGAGAGATAGTAGGTGTTATAGCACTGGTGATAAAACTGTTCTGTAACTGACCCCTCTTGGAGGAATGCAGGGAGTCACAATATCCTTTTTGATTGGCAGGAGAACCACTGTCGCAGGATTAAGATCCTGGGGGATTGCTACTACTGCGTGTCTGGACTGACCCAACCCAAGGCCGACCACGCCCACTGCTGCGTAGAGATGGGTCTGGACATGATTGACACCATAACGTGAGTCATCATATTATAGTTCTTTATTTAGCAGTATAACATGTATTAATATTAGTTAAACTATAACGGGTTCTATGGGTTTAAACACATGAAACCACTATTTTCTGTCTTTATTTCCTATCGGTGTGGTAGAAATCTGCCCTTTGATATGTATTCTTTCCTTAACACACTGTTTAACTGAGTCCATGTTGAGAGATTTCTTGGAGGGAAGCAGCCTGAGTGGCCATGTGTGCTGTGAGCAAATTCTAACACTGAACATCTGACTGCGCAGAACTTCAATTGACTGAGAACAGGAAAGGCTTTAATGGAAAAATAAAATAGGCTCTTTTATTGAGCTTGTTTTTCTCGCATAGCCTGCAGGGTTTCAAAGGAGGGGGAAAGACAACTAAAAGAAAGTGAGTGATTAAGGTGCAGTCGAAGATTGAATCAGAAACTTTGATTCCTTGGAAATACGTTTTTCTTAAACACTGATTAAACAATGCTCAACTTGGCAGTCCCTTTTGTTCTTTGACGTTCAAAGCGTTATATGATTGTTTTCAAGTACATCCACAGATAATGATAAAGATATGGGATTGCATTCTAAGATTGGAACATTTTCAAAGAGATTGGAAAATAAATTAAAATAGGAATTTAATTAAATTAAAATGGACAGAGATAAAATAATCGGGTGTAAAATAAATCCCAAATGAACGACTATAAACATTTTTAAATATTAAGACGTTATGACAACAATGTTTGTTTGTGTAACACTGATGATTGTGTATAAACTTACAATTATAAAAGTAGTGGTCCAACCTATGATGGTTTAACTTTAAAACATATAAGGTTGGTTTGCCGACTGCTTGAGAACCCTTTCATATTATCTATAATGATACAGCTTATGAAAGAGACAATCCTCTAACACAGTTTCCTATTATTTTTGTCTATTAAGTTTGAGAGACATAGGTATTATTAGTATATGTATCATTTAGAAAATGTACAGTGCTTGTGTACAGTAATGTATTATTAATGTCCCAATGTTATTTTGGGTGTTTTTTTATGCTTCCTTTGTATGTTCAGTCTAATTATACATAATGATTTAGAATATAGATATGACCTTAAAACCTTTCTGTAACACTTAATGTCTTCTGCCCTTTCAGGTCAGTCGCTGAGGCCACTGAAGTCAACCTCAACATGCGCGTGGGCCTGCATACAGGTCGGGTGCTTTGTGGAGTACTCGGGCTCAGAAAATGGCAATATGATGTTTGGTCCAATGATGTTACCCTAGCCAATGTAATGGAGGCGGGAGGACTACCTGGGTCAGTATTTGACATTTTAAATCAAATAAAGCCTCAATAGCTGTGGAAAGTAATTCTGTGATCTGGAAATGGCACGTGAAATGTACAGTGAGGTGTGAATCATTTCAATATTGTCCTGTATCAAAGTCTGTCCTAATGCTAGTGCTTTTAAATGCTTTTAATTGATTAAGACAGATCAGGAGGAAAGAAAAACTCCTGAGGAAACAAGGAGTCTAACTTTAACTACAAAGGTCACATGTTTGCATAACAATAGAATGACTTAGAAAGCTAAGGTGGAATAGCTGGAATTTTTAATAGAGTTATTTTGACAGTCTCTAGCAACCCTCCTCTGCAGATAACCTGCTTGGAACTGTTTGTGTTGAATGCCCCTCACTGCTGCATCAGAGAGGCTGTCAGTAGTGTTGTGTATAATCCTGTCCCACCTCTGTCCCACAGGAAAGTTCACATAACCAAATCTACGCTGGAGTGCCTAAATGGAGATTATGAAGTGGAGCCTGGAAACGGTCACGAAAGGAATGCCTTCCTCCAAAAACATGAAATTGAAACCTTCTTTATAGTGCCATCTCACCGACGGAAGGTATGGTATTATAATTCTGTGCCAAGGAATTAATCACCTGTAATTTAGCTTTTAGCAGAAACAAATGATAGAATTACACTTGCAATAAAGCCTTGGCCTTAGTTGAACCATTTTATTTCTAGACAGTGCGTAGACCTTGACAAAGCTGTAGCCGTATGCTAATCAGCATTGACTATAAATGAATTAGTTAGTAGGTCAGATTAAGAAAGCTGTTGACCTGTCTTAAACCCTATGCAAGACAACGATGAAACAAATTAAACAAAAACAAGGTGTTGACTAAAGAATATAGTATTATATAATGGAGCTCTCACACATTTGTAGTTGAGCTGACATCTCTTCCAGCCGGTTATACATTGGACTGGAGCTAGAGGCCTGTGGCATCTATCATCTCCAATCGGCACAGTCTTACAAACGGAGATATATGTGTGTGTGTGTGTGTCAGTGCATACACATAAACATGCACATCTTCAACAGCCACAAGCAACTGGAGAGGGAATTTCAGTCTTGGTTTAGTATTCCTCTCCTCTCTCCTTTCCTCTCCTCTCCTTTCCTCTCCTCTCCTCTCCTCTCCTCTTATTCATTGCATAAGGTTTAATAGTATGCAATATAAGCTTGAACATAGGTCACTTAGGTCCTTATATGAACCTGTAATATCCCGGTTAGGTGTTTTTTTCTTTGCTATGTAGACTTTGCTAATCCTCTTAATGCAGTTGATGGTTAGACTGCATGAGAGGCATTGCTCACAGAAAGATGTGCCCTAACTAAGCTGCATTAGGAAGCCTGCTATCACTCTCCTATTGTGCCTTTTATTACTCCTGCTTTGGGACACACCTCCTATGATGTGTGGACAACAAAACATATATTTCTTGCTATAAATGAGAATTCCTCAAAGTCTTGAAACTATTCCTAATCTTAATCACTCTCTCTAAATGAGCTATATAAAAAATGAAGGCAGCAGTCCTTAAACTATTACTCACATTATGGATATATTTAAACCACCATCTAATACTAATTGAGCTGTTAAAATGATTGCATGCTTGTGTGTGCATGTACTGTCCAATCCACTTACATAATATATATATAACTGTGTAGGGTATCATGACTAAATCTTTGTTCCCGTTTCTTATCTGGTGGCAGATATTCCCAGGATTGATTCTTTCGGATATAAAGCCCGCCAAAAAGATGAAGTTCAAAACTGTGTGCTACTTACTAGTGCAGCTTATGCACTGCAGGAAGATGTTCAAGGCTGAGATTCCCTTCTCCAATGTCATGAACTGCGAGGACGGTGATAAGGTATAAACGCTCAGTGTCTGTGTTGACGGTTCTGTGTTTGTTCGTGCTGTGATTTATGTACATTGAGACCAAAATGTATTCAGAAGTCAGAATGTCTAGAGTGTTCTGTTTGATAATGCTTGTTTCACTTACCTGGTTTCCCAAATGCCCCTAAATATCTTTATTTACACTACAACCAGATTTGTTGTTGTTTTTATGCAAGATATTAGAACATAACATTACATTTAGATGTGAAAACTATAGCTAAGAATATCTCTAGGCAAATTATCCCTTTAAAATTAAGATTTTATTGACAGAAATGTAGTCGTCAAAATATACATGTTGATCAGTAAAACTATATATGGCATTCACAGGATGTATACTTTATAGTAAGCAGCTAGGGAGTGATGGTAACCTCTGTCAGACACCAACGTACTATGTCCCCTTGAATAAACTGTGACACTGGAAATCTGGCAACATGTCAAAGAACTTAGTTGATCTTGTGTGCCTGAAAAAAAATCCTGTGGCTTGGCAGCTTTACAATTATTGCAGCAACTGTTTTTGTCCAGATTTTCACATGTGTGTCATTGTGGGGACAACTAAATAACTAAACACGTATAAAGGGACTTACTTATACCCCAAAATCGTCCATATATATTTCAGAGTTAAGACTAACAAAAGGACCCAGTTTCATCTTCAGGCTTTTATAATGTGGCCCTCAGTGTCTGCATCTAGTATGTCTTAACCTCACACTGTCTCCTCCAGAAGGCAGATTAGTATAAAATGAAAGACAAATGGAAAAGTGCTGACAGGTTAAATCATCATGCACTTCTATTGAATGGAAATGTTGCATTCAGACCACACACACTCGAATTGTTTGAAAAGACATGCATTCATGGCACGGAGGGGAGCAATATGAGGGAAAAGGGTAGACTGAATAGGATTTTTGATGCATCAGACATGGCCGCCTGATGCTACGTTGAGCATAATATGGGATATAAGGACAAGTAAGCATCTAACGTTCACTGTGCTGCTGCTTCATGAATAACAAAATGAGAGTGTGAGAGAGGCACCGAGAAATAATGGATGGAAATGGAGGGATAAAGGAAGAAGAAAAACTGGATGAAAGAAAAAACAGATACATGAAGTAAGGGAAGAAGAAAATAGGAAAGAAGGAAGTAAGGATGGATGACCGAGGAAGAAAAGCCGGAATCAAGGCAGATTACACAACATCAGAAAAGGATAGAAGAGAGAAAGGATATATAGACTGGAGCAGGAAAAGAAAGGAAGGGGAGAAAGGAGGTAACTGAGGAATAATAGATAGAAACAGGTAGGGTAACGTAGGATACACAGAAGCATGAAGAGAAGCAGGAAATAAGGAAAATGATATGAAAGCAGGGAAGGAAAAAGGAAGAAAGAATATACTGGAACACAGAAGTAAGAAGGAAACAGGGAGAGAAAGCAGGAAGTAAGGAAGAATACACAAGGACAGAGAGAACAAGGAGAAAATCAAGGAAGTCAATGAGCTGTACACATTTATGTCATGTCATGAACAGTCTGGTGATCATAGCTCCCCCTTTGCCAGCCTGCTGTGAAACAGCTACACAATTCCTCCAGCACTTACTAACATGCACACACACACACCCACGTACACACACACACAAACAACCACTCGATGATAACTATCTGGCTTTGCTCCAATGCCCAATGTTTCGCAATGCTGGGCTGCCGAAGACACTCAGACACAGTGGGCTGCATTTAGTAATGAAGTTTAGTGTGAAAGCAATGTCCTTATTTTAAAGTATAATCAGCTGCCCGTGTTTATTGTTGACTCTTATTCACCCTTGTTCCCAATATGATAATACTCCAGTAGGGCAGAGAATACAGCGCTGTGTTTATCACACTGTTGTTTCTCAACTTCTGCATATTCAGTGAAGATTTCGTTTTTTATCTAAAGCGGAGAGCAATGCGAACGGCTCCACAGAAGCTGAGGAACCGTCCCAATGCGAACCAGGCTACTGTGATCCAGAGCAGTCCCAGAACCCGGGTCAACCGCTACATCGGGCGACTGATCGAGGCCCGCCAAACCGAGTCAGACACGGCGGATCTCAACTCCCTCACACTCATGTACAAGTCCCCTGAGCGAGAGACGAGGGTGAGGGAGACACATACTGTACCTGTAAAGTCAGATTTAAAGGTCACCTATTGTGCAAAATCCACTTGTTCATGTCTTTTATACATAAACATGTGTCCCCTCTGTGTAAAGAGATTCTGAAAGTTTCAGGGGAAAAGATTCGCTCACTTTTTGTCCTGATCCATTTATATAAAAACCTGTCTGAAAATGAGCTGATCAGATTCTGGCCACTTTGTGATTTCATAAAGATTTTTTGGCTTGTGTAGCCATTAGCCAATAACCAACCAAGGTAACACCCCCCCCCCCATTGTGTTCTTTTTAACCAAATATCTCTCAGAGGGGAGGGGCTCCTTATGTTCATCTAAAGTAACAGACAGAGAATCAGCACTTTTGAAACAGGGCTGAAACAGAGGGGATTATGGGATGCCACCATGCATGATCTGTTTGGTATTTCGAGCCAAACACTTCAGAGACATGTTTTGTATATATCTGAGACCTATAATATATTGATGAAAAACAGTATAATAGGGGACCTTTAAAGGGATATGTTGTTACTCACTCTTATCTCTCTGGCATTAGTACCACCAGGTTCCTGATGAGTACTTCACCAGCGCTGTGGTTCTCTCCCTGATCCTAGCTGCCTTGTTCGGCCTTGTCTATCTCCTCATCATACCACAGTATGTACAGCAGATTCTGTGTAATCTTCTCTCTATTGCTTTCTCTTTCTCTATTTATCTCTTAATTATTCAGGTCTTTGACCCCCTCCATCTGTTTCTCCTATTTTATTCTCGTCTCAGGGGCACAGTGGTTCTTGTCCTTCTCGTCTTCTGCATCTGTTTCCTAGTAGCTTGTATCATGTACCTGCATATCACTAAAATACAGGTAAATACAGCTGCTCCCTCATTCACTTTTGAATCACACTTTAACTTCATCTCTTGTATTTGATGGCTAACAGAGGTGGCTAGTTTCTTCTTTAGATTTGTTGTCCCTTAAAGGTGGGGTAGGTAATTTTGGAGAAACCAGCTCGAGTGGGCTTGAATTTGAAAATACACAGCCGGAGAAAATCTGCCACTTCCTCACAGAGTCCCTCCTCCAACACACACGAACGCGCACATGACCAATGAGGGCACGAGATAAGTTTGTGCACAGATGGAAGGCTGACAGGCAGGTAGGCCATCCAGTTACTTTAGCCGAGCCGGCTAAAATGATTGGTCGTGCGTTTTACAGCACTACGGCTTCAACAGATGACATTTTTTATGGATTTGTTGTCAAAGCACTTAAGATATTCATTGCTATCGGGATGTTAAGAGCATTCCATGGAATATAACAAAAAGTGTGTCTCGAGCCGGTTTCTCAAACTTACCTCCCCCACCTTTAAGAGGAATATGTAAATGTTTTTTATAAAGCCAAGTCCATATTGATTCAGTATTCATTGGCTTGAAGATTAGTTTCCAAGCCCCAGTGCTGTCTGTTTCCCTTGAGGTTAATGGTCTTCCTCAAAGCTCCTGACCTCATCCTTTTTCTTTTACACGTTGTTGCTTTTACATATTACTATTCTTCCTCTCTTTCTCTTTCTGTATTCTCTTGGCTTACTTACCCCATACACTTATAAGCATGTATCTGTTTCCAGTTCCTTTCCTTATACTATTCCTACTATTCTTATTATTTATTACAATAACAATATCTTATTGTGTCCGTCTCCTTTATCTAACTTGTCCTTGTTTTGTCTCTCAGTGTTTTCCAGGATGCCTGACCATCCAGATTCGCACTGCTCTCTGTATTTTCATAGTTCTCTTAATCTACGCTGTGGCCCAGGCATGTGTGGTAAGTAAAGGCAATAGTAAAAATGTCATCCAACCAAATATGAATATAAAAACAATGCCTCCATGTCTTGTAATTGTACTTCCCTTTTCTGGTTAGACAATGTTATGCTTGTAAGCACATTTTTACTGCAGCTCTAATACATGGTTTCAGTTGTACATAATACAAAAAAGCTTGAAAATGTAAGATCACTGTCATCTGTATGCACATGCTGTTTGCCTCTGTCAGGTGGGCTGTATGCCCTGGTTGTGGATACGTGCCAACAACAACAGCTCCATCATCATCGTTGATTCTGACGTGGCCAACCACACGATGGAGGAGCTGCCTTGTGATGGTGCCCGCTACGCCTTTCTGTCCTGTGTAGTGGGCACACTCACCCTGGCACTTTTCCTGAGGGTTTTCTGGCTGCCAAAGATGATGCTAATGCTCGTTCTGGGGGTGCTGTATGTCACCGTGTTGGAGCTCAGCGAATTTCGAAAGACTGAAGGGTGAGCAGATCGCAGCACAACATGAACACAATCACCAAACACACAATCATGCAAGACAGTACTTTTTTATTTGTCATTTCCTGAAGCTAATGGAGGCAGCGATTGGCTGTGAGTGTCAAGCAATGCTTGTTTTCTCTTGTTGTATCCAGAGAACGGATAGATAACCAGGAGTTTGGAAGAACATTTACAGTACATGTTCTGAGATGTATGTGTGTGGAGGAGTCTTTGCTTGTCTGTAGCCCACACACTCTTTCATTTTCCACTCTTTGAAGCAGCACATGTGCTCATTAGTTCCAAATCAGAAGCCTGAAAGGACATTGTGGGCTGGATGTTGGTAGCGCGTTAGCTGTTTAAACCCAGTACTGAGGGCCTGGCCAATGTTATTGGATCTTAGATCATAAATGTGCTCCTAAAAAAATGATTATGTTGAATTTGTTTAGGGTTCTTTGGATATAAGATCTTGTTTAAAAAGCTCACTTTGTTTAGATTAGTCTGTTATATAATCATAAATAAAATGGTATGTATCAACATTTCATTTCTTCCAATATGATATTTGTCCTCACATAAAATGAAACGGAAATAGTTTTTTTCAATATGTTTTTAATAAAACCTTACTCATGATTGTTCATAAAACTGTGTGGGGTCCATTCATCCCTCATGTGTAGTTTCCTGTGTGGTCCAGTCCAGTGCTGACTTGTGTTGGTCTCTTCCACAGTGGGGGGTCCTTCCACATCCGGGGCTATGAGCCCATCCTGTCTCTGTTGCTCTTTGTCAGTGCCCTGGCCCTCCACTCCAGACAACTTGACCTCAAACTGCGCCTGGACTTTCTATGGGCTGTGCAGGTGAGGACTTGTGTCCTGTGTGGATGTTAAGAGGCTTACATCTCATTATCATAATGCTTTAATAGAAAGGGCTGTAGAAATGCTGACATTATTGATTTGATTAAGTGGAATTACTAAAGCTGAATTTACAGCTTCTCATTTTCTAGTTATTTAATAAGCAGCATTTGTCATATAATGTATCCAGGTCTATTTAAAAACCAACTATGAAACAAACACTCCATGTTATAAGACTCTTGTGTTTTTCTACTGACTCCTTGTGGTGAAAATGTGGAATTAGCTGCAGTACTAATTGCTGTGTATTTTTCTGTGGTCTATATTTGCTGTCAGGCGGAGGAGGATAGAGATGGCATGGAGAAAGTCAAACTGGACAACAGGAGGATCCTCTTCAATCTTCTCCCCGCACACGTGGCTCAACACTTCCTGTTGTCGAACCCGAAGAATATGGTGAGCCTCGCTAATAGACACACAGGTAGATTAACAGACAGAAGACAAAAATAAATCAGAGACCTCAAAGGAAATACTGTTATACTGTATTTTTTCGTTTTACATCAGGATCTTTACTATCAGTCCTACGCACAAGTTGGTGTCCTGTTTGCCTCAATCCCAAACTTCAACGATTTCTACATCGAGCTGGATGGCAACAACATGGGAGTGGAGTGCCTGAGATTACTGAATGAGATCATCGCTGACTTTGATGAGGTGGGATGTTGATTTCTTGACTTTGAATTTGAATTTGAAATGTGTTGCATTGTGTGTTTATCTGAACGCATGTTTTTCAGCTCATGGATAAGGGGTGCTACAAAGACATCGAGAAAATCAAAACCATTGGCAGCACTTACATGGCGGCTGTAGGCCTCGTCCCACCCGTTTGTGACAAGGTGACACATAGTTTCTGTGCACTTATCTGATTGGATATATTACCTCATTATGAAGACAAAATGAGAGATCATGTAATGTACACATATTTACTGACCTGTGTGCCTCCTCTTTAGGAGAAAATATCTGTTTACGACCATCTGAGCACAATAGCAGACTACGCCATCGAGATGTTTGACGTTTTGGATGAAATCAACTACCAGTCATACAATGAGTTTGTGTTGAGAGTGGGTACGTCCACCCTTGTTTTAACCCCTTAGTGCAATCACATAGTTAATGACAATGAGAAATCTAACTGGACATTCTTTTTGTATTTGTTTAACACGATCTTCTGTTTGCATAGGTATCAATGTGGGTCCAGTGGTTGCAGGGGTGATTGGGGCGCGGCGACCTCAGTATGACATCTGGGGGAACACAGTCAATGTGGCCAGCAGGATGGATAGCACTGGAGTACCGGGAAAAATACAGGTATCTAACATACTTCATAATATTTAATTAATTTAATATGCAAAGCTAGTTTACAAACAATGCTTGAACTACATAAAAAGTGTAAGATAAATAAACCACATTGTCTTTTGCTTCCAATTTTGAAAAGATGGTTAAAGGTGGGGTAGGTAAGTTTGAGAAACCGGCTCGAGATACACTTTTTGTTATATTCCATGGAATGCTCTTAACATCCCGATAGCAATGAATATCTTAAGTGCTTTGACAAAAAATCCATAAAAAAAGGTCATCTGTGGAAGCCGTAGTACTGTAAAAAGCACGACCAATCATTTTAGCCGGCCCGGCTAAAGTAACTGGATGGCCTACCTGCCTGTCAGCCTTCCATCTGTGCACAAACTTATCTCGTGCCCTCATTGGTCATGTGCGCGTTTGTGTGTGTTGGAGGAGGGGCTCTGTAAGGAAGTGGAAGATTTTTTCTGGCTGTGTATTTTCAAATTCTAGCGCACTCGAGCGGGTTTCTCCAAAATTACCTACCCCACCTTTAATAAACATTTTAATTAAATGATAACATTTTGACATATTTGATGTTAAGATAGGGAAGTAAATAATAATACCTAAATATACACACCGAGTGTTTCATTTTTTATATATTTGATTGAGTTTATGCCATTAATAGGGATTCAAGGATCACCTATTGTCATTCTGCAACACAGGGTTATAAAACAAAGTGTAGTTGTAGTTCGGTATGAATTGTAACAAAACAGCACAAAGTACTTTTTTATATTGAGAGCTCACTGGACTAAATAGGCTTTTTTGAGACATATTTACAGGTTATACTGCATGACTTTTTAAGAGCCGACAGCCATAGTAATGGTACTCCTGTCGAAAGAGAACCAAAGTATTGAACTTTCTTTCAATCTTTAGTTTTACTGCTCATATTGCATCAACATACAAGAGGGAGGAGGAAATGTTGCAGCAGGTTGAACAAATTGGCATATGTGACTAACAGGCGTTATCAGTAGACTTAAGAAGTGTCTTTTTGAACCCCATGGATGAGGCGACTGATGCTCAATTCCCCTGATTCCCGATAGTTCAACACAATATGGCAAGACATATTGCACTGAGTTGTATGTGTGCTTTGGAAACAAGTTACTGTAAAAACATCACAAAGAGGACTTAATGTATGGTGCATATATTATGTAGATATCCAGGAAGACATTCATCCACACAGAGGAGAGCACATACATTGCTTAAGCACATCCAATAAGTACACTGCATCAAGTGCACAACTTAGTCCTTTAGCTTTAGCCTCCAAACACTCCATCTACATTGACACAGTATCTCTAGACCACAGAAACTTTGGTGCGGGGTCAGGTTACCAGCGTCTATCAGGCACACATTACCGTTCTACGGCTCTTTTTGTAATTTTTTAACTACATTTAGAGTTTTACTCTGAGAAATATCAGCTTTAGCAGCACGTCTCCCAGATACTCCCGGTCTCAAAAACACGATGCACTTCAAATAGCTTTGTAGCCTGCATCTTTATCAGCGTTCAACTTTTACTTGATCTGCGAGTTTAAATACATCCTGTTTCAAGTTGTTTGCCTTACTCAATAAGCTTACAGTGATTGCAACCTGCCTTTTTAGATATATTCACTTTGATATGCAGATTATACTTTTTGTAAATAGCTAAAAGCTGTAAACTATGTTGTATCTTGTACAGTGTAAAGTTGGGTGATTGAATATTTTGTAATAAAGACAATATTGGTGTATAAAATATAAAAAGAGTATTAATATAAAGAAGTAGGTGTTTAAAGGTTAAGTAAAGCTGTTTATTTGATTTGTTGGATGAGCCATATCAGGATTTCAAATCTAAATCGCAATATTTACATGTTGTCCCTCAAACGCAGCACAGCAAACTAACAGCTTGTAACAAATATAACTTTTTATTGGAAGTTAATCATGTTACTTATAGTCTATAACATTTTATTTCTCACAACTTAGTTTATGGCTCTCGAAATAACAATTTTTACTCCAAAATATGGCAGATAATTACAGTTTATTTAGCCAAACGGTGAGCTTCCACTGCCCAAAGCCAGATGAATGTCAACATGTCACAAACAAACTGAACGGGGGCCAAAAATGTTTTCCCAGCGTTAATGTAGTATTTGTCTTGGGTTCACTCAGTGTAACAGTTCAGTCAACAAACACCTGGCTTGCTCAATAATTTTCAGTCCAGTACAGTATTGGAATACATTTTGCTTGGGAATTAAATGAACAAATTCTGGTCAGTTTTTATAAAAGTTGCGTTTACCAGAAAAATACTTTAAAGTACAGCTGTTGTTTTTCTTGTCATGGTAAGTTCCCTGACTTCAAGCCTAAGTGGACATGAAGCAATGAAGGGAATTCAAGGTGAATGAAATAACACAAATAACACTCCCCCTTGAGTCATCAGTGATAAAAAGGGTCAAGATGAGTCAATCAGGTTCAGGCATTCATTAATGACACAATTTCAATAACCATGAAAACAGTATATTATTTTCGTCTTATCATTTATTTTCCACATCTATTTAATTTATGTTTTATTCCCAATTAAGTGTTCTGGGAGGAAAAAATATATAAAGACAGTGATTTAGGTTAATGTAATGTTGATCTCAAGAAAACTGTTCTTAAAAGATCTACTGAATTTTTAACCCAAGCAAATATTCATTAAAGACAGGGGAGGTAAGTTTGAGAAACCGGCTCGAGATACACTTTTTGTTATATTCCATGGAATGCTCTTAACATCCCGATAGCAATGAATATCTTAAGTGCTTTGACAAAAAATCCATAAAAAAAGGTCATCTGTGGAAGCCGTGGTACTGTAAAAAGCACGACCAATCATTTTAGCCGGCCCGGCAAAAGTAACTGGATGGCCTACCTGCCTGTCAGCCTTCCATCTGTGCACAAACTTATCTCGTGCCCTCATTGGTCATGTGCGCGTTTGTGTGTGTTGGAGGAGGGGCTCTGTAAGGAAGTGGCAGATTTTTTCTTGCTGTGTATTTTCAAATTCTAGCGATCTCGAGCTGGTTTCTCCAAAATTACCTACCCCACCTTTAATAAACATTTTAATTAAATGATAACATTTTGACATATTTGATGTTAAGATAGGGAAGTAAATAATAATACCTAAATATACACACCGAGTGTTTCATTTTTTTTATATTTGATTGAGTTTATGCCATTAATAGGGATTCAAGGATCACCTATTGTCATTCTGCAACACGGTTATAAAACAAAGTGTAGTTGTAGTTCGGTATGCTACACAAAAAAAACATGAAAAACAGAACAAACCAGTAGTACTTTCCTCTAGTTCATTTTTGGAATTTGCATCAGCAACAAAAACAATGGCGCATTCTGTGTGACGATAATAGGTCATCTTACCATATTAGATACTATCAAACAATGTCCATCAATGTCAATCAACACCTCCCAGTCAGGATCATTTTGTGAATAGATACACATGTATGTTTCCTTATTTTAATAACACAGGTGACTGAAGACGTGTTTCGCCTGCTAAACACCAACTATGACCTGGTGTGCCGGGGAAAAGTGAGTGTCAAGGGGAAAGGTGAGATGCTGACCTACTTCCTGGAAGGCAAGGTTCAGGGCGTGGGCACGGTGACCACCTCTTCAGTGGTGCGTTCTGCCAGCCTGGCGCGGCGGATCCACTCCTGCGGAAAGACGAGCGTCCCGACCAATCTGGTCAGTGTCTCCTCCGCTGCCAGCCTGACCGTGTACGCCAGCATGAGCAGCACCATACAGATGAGCACGGCCAACAGCAGCAACAGCCAAGCGATATGCCTGCCCTCACCCTTTGTGCCCGCAGTGGGTGAGGTGGATGAGGAGGACATAGAGATGACACATATTGAGATAGAGGCTGTGGCAGCTGTTGCAGATGTAGCAGTGTAGGAAGACACAAATATAAACACTGAATACAGTAATGAAAACCCTGGTGGAAGGCCTAAAGAAGACAGGGCTGTCCAGGTATGTCCTTTAAATCCTGAGCTACTGGCACAACCCAGAATGTGCTCATTCAGGATATGAACTTCCAAATAAATGATATGGTGAAATGGACAATCATGCTCGATTTAGGGGTTTTTATCTGCTTCCTACTCATGGAAGTCAAACAGAAAGACATCCGTATTCTCAAGTCCTCTTTCTAACATCTCTATAATAACAGATGATTTGTGTTGTTCCTGGGATTCACTCAGATCCAGGTATAATGTGCATCTTTGTTTTCTAAGTGGAGCATATTCCATGTACAAGAGATATGTGCATTGATATCCAGAAAAAGACTGATCATGCTATTGCACTGTCTTTCTGATTATGCCAAGGATACATTGCATTATTTACAGTGTACAACGGTGTTGTTTCTTTTTGGTGTGTGTAAGCATGCATGTGTGTACTTATGAGTGTGTGTATGCATGTGTGATTTATTCTGAATTGTAACAAAACAGCACAAAGTACTTTTTTATATTGAGAGCTCACTGGACTAAATAGGCTTTTTTGAGACATATTTACAGGTTATACTGCATGACTTTTTAAGAGCCGACAGCCATAGTAATGGTACTCCTGTCGAAAGAGAACCAAAGTATTGAACTTTCTTTCAATCTTTAGTTTTACTGCTCATATTGCATCAACATACAAGAGGGAGGAGGAAATGTTGCAGCAGGTTGAACAAATTGGCATATGTGACTAACAGGCGTTATCAGTAGACTTAAGAAGTGTCTTTTTGAACCCCATGGATGAGGCGACTGATGCTCAATTCCCCTGATTCCCGATAGTTCAACACAATATGGCAAGACATATTGCACTGAGTTGTATGTGTGCTTTGGAAACAAGTTACTGTAAAAACATCACAAAGAGGACTTAATGTATGGTGCATATATTATGTAGATATCCAGGAAGACATTCATCCACACAGAGGAGAGCACATACATTGCTTAAGCACATCCAATAAGCACACTGCATCAAGTGCACAACTTAGTCCTTTAGCTTTAGCCTCCAAACACTCCATCTACATTGACACAGTATCTCTAGACCACAGAAACTTTGGTGCGGGGTCAGGTTACCAGCGTCTATCAGGCACACATTACCGTTCTACAGCTCTTTTTGTAATTTTGTAACTACATTTAGAGTTTTACTCTGAGAAATATCAGCTTTAGCAGCACGTCTCCCAGATACTCCCGGTCTCAAAAACACGATGCACTTCAAATAGCTTTGTAGCCTGCATCTTTATCAGCGTTCAACTTTTACTTGATCTGCGAGTGTAAATACATCCTGTTTCAAGTTGTTTGCCTTACTCAATAAGCTTACAGTGATTGCAACCTGCCTTTTTAGATATATTCACTTTGATATGCAGATTATACTTTTTGTAAATAGCTAAAAGCTGTAAACTATGTTGTATCTTGTACAGTGTAAAGTTGGGTGATTGAATATTTTGTAATAAAGACAATATTGGTGTATAAAATATAAAAAGAGTATTAATATAAAGAAGTAGGTGTTTAAAGGTTAAGTAAAGCTGTTTATTTGATTTTTTGGATGAGCCATATCAGGATTTCAAATCTAAATCGCAATATTTACATGTTGCCCCTCAAACGCAGCACAGCAAACTAACAGCTTGTAACAAATATAACTTTTTATTGGAAGTTAATCATGTTACTTATAGTCTATAACATTTTATTTCTCACAACTTAGTTTATGGCTCTCGAAATAACAATTTTTACTCCAAAATATGGCAGATAATTACAGTTTATGTTGCCAAACGGTGAGCTTCCACTGCCCAAAGCCAGATGAATGTCAACATGTCACAAACAAACTGAACGGGGGCCAAAAATGTTTTCCCAGCGTTAATGTAGTATTTGTCTTGGGTTCACTCAGTGTAACAGTTCAGTCAACAAACACCTGGCTTGCTCAATAATTTTCAGTCCAGTACAGTATTGGAATACATTTTGCTTGGGAATTAAATGAACAAATTCTGGTCAGTTTTTATAAAAGTTGCGTTTACCAGAAAAATACTTTAAAGTACAGCTGTTGTTTTTCTTGTCATGGTAAGTTCCCTGACTTCAAGCCTAAGTGGACATGAAGCAATGAAGGGAATTCAAGGTGAATGAAATAACACAAATAACACTCCCCCTTGAGTCATCAGTGAAAAAAAGGGTCAAGATGAGTCAATCAGGTTCAGGCATTCATTAATGACACAATTTCAATAACCATGAAAACAGTATATTATTTTCGTCTTATAATTTATTTTCCACATCTATTTAATTTATGTTTTATTCCCAATTAAGTGTTCTGGGAGGAAAAAATATATAAAGACAGTGATTTAGGTTAATGTAATGTTGATCTCAAGAAAACTGTTCTTAAAAGATCTACTGAATTTTTAACCCAAGCAAATATTCATTAAAGACAGGGGAGGTAAGTTTGAGAAACCGGCTCGAGATACACTTTTTGTTATATTCCATGGAATGCTCTTAACATCCCGATAGCAATGAATATCTTAAGTGCTTTGACAAAAAATCCATAAAAAATGTCATCTGTGGAAGCCGTAGTACTGTAAAAAGCACGACCAATCATTTTAGCCGGCCCGGCTAAAGTAACTGGATGGCCTACCTGCCTGTCAGCCTTCCATCTGTGCACAAACTTATCTCGTGCCCTCATTGGTCATGTGCGCGTTTGTGTGTGTTGGAGGAGGGGCTCTGTAAGGAAGTGGCAGATTTTTTCTGGCTGTGTATTTTCAAATTCTAGCGATCTCGAGCTGGTTTCTCCAAAATTACCTACCCCACCTTTAATAAACATTTTAATTAAATGATAACATTTTGACATATTTGATGTTAAGATAGGGAAGTAAATAATAATACCTAAATATACACACCGAGTGTTTCATTTTTTATATATTTGATTGAGTTTATGCCATTTATAGGGATTCAAGGATCACCTATTGTCATTCTGCAACACGGTTATAAAACAAAGTGTAGTTGTAGTTCGGTATGCTACAAAAAAAACATGAAAAACAGAACAAACCAGTAGTACTTTCCTCTAGTTCATTTTTGGAATTTGCATCAGCAACAAAAACAATGGCGCATTCTGTGTGACGATAATAGGTCATCTTACCATATTAGATACTATCAAACAATGTCCATCAATGTCAATCAACACCTCCCAGTCAGGATCATTTTGTGAATAGATACACATGTATGTTTCCTTATTTTAATAACACAGGTGACTGAAGACGTGTTTCGCCTGCTAAACACCAACTATGACCTGGTGTGCCGGGGAAAAGTGAGTGTCAAGGGGAAAGGTGAGATGCTGACCTACTTCCTGGAAGGCAAGGTTCAGGGCGTGGGCACGGTGACCACCTCTTCAGTGGTGCGTTCTGCCAGCCTGGCGCGGCGGATCCACTCCTGCGGAAAGACGAGCGTCCCGACCAATCTGGTCAGTGTCTCCTCCGCTGCCAGCCTGACCGTGTACGCCAGCATGAGCAGCACCATACAGATGAGCACGGCCAACAGCAGCAACAGCCAAGCGATATGCCTGCCCTCACCCTTTGTGCCCGCAGTGGGTGAGGTGGATGAGGAGGACATAGAGATGACACATATTGAGATAGAGGCTGTGGCAGCTGTTGCAGATGTAGCAGTGTAGGAAGACACAAATATAAACACTGAATACAGTAATGAAAACCCTGGTGGAAGGCCTAAAGAAGACAGGGCTGTCCAGGTATATCCTTTAAATCCTGAGCTACTGGCACAACCCAGAATGTGCTCATTCAGGATATGAACTTCCAAATAAATGATATGGTGAAATGGACAATCATGCTCGATTTAGGGGTTTTTATCTGCTTCCTACTCATGGAAGTCAAACAGAAAGACATCCGTATTCTCAAGTCCTCTTTCTAACATCTCTATAATAACAGATGATTTGTGTTGTTCCTGGGATTCACTCAGATCCAGGTATAATGTGCATCTTTGTTTTCTAAGTGGAGCATATTCCATGTACAAGAGATATGTGCATTGATATCCAGAAAAAGACTGATCATGCTATTGCACTGTCTTTCTGATTATGCCAAGGATACATTGCATTATTTACAGTGTACAACGGTGTTGTTTCTTTTTGGTGTGTGTAAGCATGCATGTGTGTACTTATGAGTGTGTGTATGCATGTGTGATTTATTCTGAATTGTAACAAAACAGCACAAAGTACTTTTTTATATTGAGAGCTCACTGGACTAAATAGGCTTTTTTGAGACATATTTACAGGTTATACTGCATGACTTTTTAAGAGCCGACAGCCATAGTAATGGTACTCCTGTCGAAAGAGAACCAAAGTATTGAACTTTCTTTCAATCTTTAGTTTTACTGCTCATATTGCATCAACATACAAGAGGGAGGAGGAAATGTTGCAGCAGGTTGAACAAATTGGCATATGTGACTAACAGGCGTTATCAGTAGACTTAAGAAGTGTCTTTTTGAACCCCATGGATGAGGCGACTGATGCTCAATTCCCCTGATTCCCGATAGTTCAACACAATATGGCAAGACATATTGCACTGAGTTGTATGTGTGCTTTGGAAACAAGTTACTGTAAAAACATCACAAAGAGGACTTAATGTATGGTGCATATATTATGTAGATATCCAGGAAGACATTCATCCACACAGAGGAGAGCACATACATTGCTTAAGCACATCCAATAAGCACACTGCATCAAGTGCACAACTTAGTCCTTTAGCTTTAGCCTCCAAACACTCCATCTACATTGACACAGTATCTCTAGACCACAGAAACTTTGGTGCGGGGTCAGGTTACCAGCGTCTATCAGGCACACATTACCGTTCTACAGCTCTTTTTGTAATTTTTTAACTACATTTAGAGTTTTACTCTGAGAAATATCAGCTTTAGCAGCACGTCTCCCAGATACTCCCGGTCTCAAAAACACGATGCACTTCAAATAGCTTTGTAGCCTGCATCTTTATCAGCGTTCAACTTTTACTTGATCTGCGAGTGTAAATACATCCTGTTTCAAGTTGTTTGCCTTACTCAATAAGCTTACAGTGATTGCAACCTGCCTTTTTAGATATATTCACTTTGATATGCAGATTATACTTTTTGTAAATAGCTAAAAGCTGTAAACTATGTTGTATCTTGTACAGTGTAAAGTTGGGTGATTGAATATTTTGTAATAAAGACAATATTGGTGTATAAAATATAAAAAGAGTATTAATATAAAGAAGTAGGTGTTTAAAGGTTAAGTAAAGCTGTTTATTTGATTTGTTGGATGAGCCATATCAGGATTTCAAATCTAAATCGCAATATTTACATGTTGTCCCTCAAACGCAGCACAGCAAACTAACAGCTTGTAACAAATATAACTTTTTATTGGAAGTTAATCATGTTACTTATAGTCTATAACATTTTATTTCTCACAACTTAGTTTATGGCTCTCGAAATAACAATTTTTACTCCAAAATATGGCAGATAATTACAGTTTATTTTGCCAAACGGTGAGCTTCCACTGCCCAAAGCCAGATGAATGTCAACATGTCACAAACAAACTGAACGGGGGCCAAAAATGTTTTCCCAGCGTTAATGTAGTATTTGTCTTGGGTTCACTCAGTGTAACAGTTCAGTCAACAAACACCTGGCTTGCTCAATAATTTTCAGTCCAGTACAGTATTGGAATACATTTTGCTTGGGAATTAAATGAACAAATTCTGGTCAGTTTTTATAAAAGTTGCGTTTACCAGAAAAATACTTTAAAGTACAGCTGTTGTTTTTCTTGTCATGGTAAGTTCCCTGACTTCAAGCCTAAGTGGACATGAAGCAATGAAGGGAATTCAAGGTGAATGAAATAACACAAATAACACTCCCCCTTGAGTCATCAGTGAAAAAAAGGGTCAAGATGAGTCAATCAGGTTCAGGCATTCATTAATGACACAATTTCAATAACCATGAAAACAGTATATTATTTTCGTCTTATAATTTATTTTCCACATCTATTTAATTTATGTTTTATTCCCAATTAAGTGTTCTGGGAGGAAAAAATATATAAAGACAGTGATTTAGGTTAATGTAATGTTGATCTCAAGAAAACTGTTCTTAAAAGATCTACTGAATTTTTAACCCAAGCAAATATTCATTAAAGACAGGGTAGGTAAGTTTGAGAAACCGGCTCGAGATACACTTTTTGTTATATTCCATGGAATGCTCTTAACATCCCGATAGCAATGAATATCTTCAGTGCTTTGACAAAAAATCCATAAAAAATGTCATCTGTGGAAGCCGTAGTACTGTGAAAAGCACGACCAATCATTTTAGCCGGCCCGGCTAAAGTAACTGGATGGCCTACCTGCCTGTCAGCCTTCCATCTGTGCACAAACTTATCTCGTGCCCTCATTGGTCATGTGCGCGTTTGTGTGTGTTGGAGGAGGGGCTCTGTAAGGAAGTGGCAGATTTTTTCTGGCTGTGTATTTTCAAATTCTAGCGATCTCGAGCTGGTTTCTCCAAAATTACCTACCCCACCTTTAATAAACATTTTAATTAAATGATAACATTTTGACATATTTGATGTTAAGATAGGGAAGTAAATAATAATACCTAAATATACACACCGAGTGTTTCATTTTTTTTATATTTGATTGAGTTTATGCCATTAATAGGGATTCAAGGATCACCTATTGTCATTCTGCAACACAGGGTTATAAAACAAAGTGTAGTTGTAGTTCGGTATGCTACAAAAAAAACATGAAAAACAGAACAAACCAGTAGTACTTTCCTCTAGTTCATTTTTGGAATTTGCATCAGCAACAAAAACAATGGCGCATTCTGTGTGACGATAATAGGTCATCTTACCATATTAGATACTATCAAACAATGTCCATCAATGTCAATCAACACCTCCCAGTCAGGATCATTTTGTGAATAGATACACATGTATGTTTCCTTATTTTAATAACACAGGTGACTGAAGACGTGTTTCGCCTGCTAAACACCAACTATGACCTGGTGTGCCGGGGAAAAGTGAGTGTCAAGGGGAAAGGTGAGATGCTGACCTACTTCCTGGAAGGCAAGGTTCAGGGCGTGGGCACGGTGACCACCTCTTCAGTGGTGCGTTCTGCCAGCCTGGCGCGGCGGATCCACTCCTGCGGAAAGACGAGCGTCCCGACCAATCTGGTCAGTGTCTCCTCCGCTGCCAGCCTGACCGTGTACGCCAGCATGAGCAGCACCATACAGATGAGCACGGCCAACAGCAGCAACAGCCAAGCGATATGCCTGCCCTCACCCTTTGTGCCCGCAGTGGGTGAGGTGGATGAGGAGGACATAGAGATGACACATATTGAGATAGAGGCTGTGGCAGCTGTTGCAGATGTAGCAGTGTAGGAAGACACAAATATAAACACTGAATACAGTAATGAAAACCCTGGTGGAAGGCCTAAAGAAGACAGGGCTGTCCAGGTATGTCCTTTAAATCCTGAGCTACTGGCACAACCCAGAATGTGCTCATTCAGGATATGAACTTCCAAATAAATGATATGGTGAAATGGACAATCATGCTCGATTTAGGGGTTTTTATCTGCTTCCTACTCATGGAAGTCAAACAGAAAGACATCCGTATTCTCAAGTCCTCTTTCTAACATCTCTATAATAACAGATGATTTGTGTTGTTCCTGGGATTCACTCAGATCCAGGTATAATGTGCATCTTTGTTTTCTAAGTGGAGCATATTCCATGTACAAGAGATATGTGCATTGATATCCAGAAAAAGACTGATCATGCTATTGCACTGTCTTTCTGATTATGCCAAGGATACATTGCATTATTTACAGTGTACAACGGTGTTGTTTCTTTTTGGTGTGTGTAAGCATGCATGTGTGTACTTATGAGTGTGTGTATGCATGTGTGATTTATTCTGAATTGTAACAAAACAGCACAAAGTACTTTTTTATATTGAGAGCTCACTGGACTAAATAGGCTTTTTTGAGACATATTTACAGGTTATACTGCATGACTTTTTAAGAGCCGACAGCCATAGTAATGGTACTCCTGTCGAAAGAGAACCAAAGTATTGAACTTTCTTTCAATCTTTAGTTTTACTGCTCATATTGCATCAACATACAAGAGGGAGGAGGAAATGTTGCAGCAGGTTGAACAAATTGGCATATGTGACTAACAGGCGTTATCAGTAGACTTAAGAAGTGTCTTTTTGAACCCCATGGATGAGGCGACTGATGCTCAATTCCCCTGATTCCCGATAGTTCAACACAATATGGCAAGACATATTGCACTGAGTTGTATGTGTGCTTTGGAAACAAGTTACTGTAAAAACATCACAAAGAGGACTTAATGTATGGTGCATATATTATGTAGATATCCAGGAAGACATTCATCCACACAGAGGAGAGCACATACATTGCTTAAGCACATCCAATAAGCACACTGCATCAAGTGCACAACTTAGTCCTTTAGCTTTAGCCTCCAAAACACTCCATCTACATTGACACAGTATCTCTAGACCACAGAAACTTTGGTGCGGGGTCAGGTTACCAGCGTCTATCAGGCACACATTACCGTTCTACGGCTCTTTTTGTAATTTTTTAACTACATTTAGAGTTTTACTCTGAGAAATATCAGCTTTAGCAGCACGTCTCCCAGATACTCCCGGTCTCAAAAACACGATGCACTTCAAATAGCTTTGTAGCCTGCATCTTTATCAGCGTTCAACTTTTACTTGATCTGCGAGTGTAAATACATCCTGTTTCAAGTTGTTTGCCTTACTCAATAAGCTTACAGTGATTGCAACCTGCCTTTTTAGATATATTCACTTTGATATGCAGATTATACTTTTTGTAAATAGCTAAAAGCTGTAAACTATGTTGTATCTTGTACAGTGTAAAGTTGGGTGATTGAATATTTTGTAATAAAGACAATATTGGTGTATAAAATATAAAAAGAGTATTAATATAAAGAAGTAGGTGTTTAAAGGTTAAGTAAAGCTGTTTATTTGATTTGTTGGATGAGCCATATCAGGATTTCAAATCTAAATCGCAATATTTACATGTTGTCCCTCAAACGCAGCACAGCAAACTAACAGCTTGTAACAAATATAACTTTTTATTGGAAGTTAATCATGTTACTTATAGTCTATAACATTTTATTTCTCACAACTTAGTTTATGGCTCTCGAAATAACAATTTTTACTCCAAAATATGGCAGATAATTACAGTTTATTTTGCCAAACGGTGAGCTTCCACTGCCCAAAGCCAGATGAATGTCAACATGTCACAAACAAACTGAACGGGGGCCAAAAATGTTTTCCCAGCGTTAATGTAGTATTTGTCTTGGGTTCACTCAGTGTAACAGTTCAGTCAACAAACACCTGGCTTGCTCAATAATTTTCAGTCCAGTACAGTATTGGAATACATTTTGCTTGGGAATTAAATGAACAAATTCTGGTCAGTTTTTATAAAAGTTGCGTTTACCAGAAAAATACTTTAAAGTACAGCTGTTGTTTTTCTTGTCATGGTAAGTTCCCTGACTTCAAGCCTAAGTGGACATGAAGCAATGAAGGGAATTCAAGGTGAATGAAATAACACAAATAACACTCCCCCTTGAGTCATCAATGAAAAAAAGGGTCAAGATGAGTCAATCAGGTTCAGGCATTCATTAATGACACAATTTCAATAACCATGAAAACAGTATATTATTTTCGTCTTATAATTTATTTTCCACATCTATTTAATTTATGTTTTATTCCCAATTAAGTGTTCTGGGAGGAAAAATATATAAAGACAGTGATTTAGGTTAATGTAATGTTGATCTCAAGAAAACTGTTCTTAAAAGATCTACTGAATTTTTAACCCAAGCAAATATTCATTAAAGACAGGGTAGGTAAGTTTGAGAAACCGGCTCGAGATACACTTTTTGTTGTATTCCATGGAATGCTCTTAACATCCCGATAGCAATGAATATCTTCAGTGCTTTGACAAAAAATCCATAAAAAATGTCACCTGTGGAAGCCGTAGTACTGTAAAAAGCACGACCAATCATCTGAGCCGGCCCGGCTAAAATAACTGGATGGCCTACCTGCCTGTCAGCCTTCCATCTGTGCACAAACTTATCTCGTGCCCTCATTGGTCATGTGCGCGTTTGTGTGTGTTGGAGGAGGGGCTCTGTAAGGAAGTGGCAGATTTTTTCCGGTCGTGTATTTTCAAATTTTAGCGATCTCGAGCCGGTTTCTCAAACTTACATACCCTACCTATTCACCCATTAGGTGAAACTTAAATTATGTTTTTCGTTTAAACAAGCAACAATTCAGCTAATATTAAACTTGTATTACATTTTACTCAAATGCCATGTGTTTATCCTTATTCTTATCATTAGAGTCACCTCCTTATGTGACCATTTTAAAAACTATTTTTAAGAAATATATGTATTATAACACCGTTTTTTTATGGAATCATTGGCTCAGGTTACATTGCTTTATTTGTCACAAAGGATAAGCATTTCCACCTGTCACCTGTCTGCAATCAAGCTCTCTCACCTGATTTGAATTATCAACTAATTACAACCTACGATCAGGATCCTCACATGACAGGAAAGCTCAGTCCTCAGCCACATGGAACAAAATGTGAGTTCAAAGTCACTTTTTACATTCATTTATGGAAAGGTGTTCTGGTAATTCTGCTGTGTTCTTAACAAAAACTATAAATGGGGGGACAGAGGCCACGTTTGGAGACCATAGAGGAAGATTCATGGCAGGAAGATGAAACCGAAGGAAGCAAAAGTGGAGAAGAAGAGGAGGATTTCCAAATTCAAGTGGACACAAAAGAGGTGATGGTAGATGAAGAGAGCGAAGAAGATGAAGATGAACTGAGGGTTCAGAGACCTAGGCGACTGTCTGGTTCCCTCCGCCAAGCAAGTTATCTCCAAAACCAATCTACCAACAAGGATCCGGAGGAAATGGAGAATTCCTCTGATTTAGATCGGAGCACACAAGCCCTGGATTTATGTGATGAAGCTACAACACAACAGCCAAAAAGGTTCCTAAATCAGAAGTGGTCCATGAGCAAGTTGTTGAGAATAGAGGTGAGTTATTATGGCACATTTTACATTCAAATGAATTATCCGACAACTCAAATGTATAAGAGATAATGCTCTATTGTTTTAGGTATCCAAGGTTAAATGGCCAAAACACACACCACCTAAACAGTCAGTGCAAATGAAGAGAACTAGGAAGAGAGTCAAGAAGGTGTCTAAGGCTGTGAGTGTACATTTGAAACAGTTTTTCTTTTAATTATGAAAAAGAAAACTGATGAATGTATTTTGTTATTACCAATATCCTCAAAGAAGCAGGGGTTTCCTAAGTGGCTGGTGGACTTGATGATCAACATTGAAGAGGCAACCACCCACCAGCTGGTGGTCGAGTAACGCTCACAGTCACACTTTCATTTTTGTTATTATCAAAAAATGTGTTTTAAAGGTAAAAATAATTTGGCATACTAACAAGCGTTGGACATCATGTTTCTGCATGATGATGAGAAACGTGTTATTTTTTAGTCAAAATCATATTTTGTTCTTGAGTTGTATGGCTCTCTTTTTTTGATTACCTCTTTGGCAAGTGTGTCTCTAGTTATATTTACTTTATTAAAATGATGTTTCATGATGTAGAAACAGCAAACTAACTACCAGTCATTTTGATATCTGCACACATCACATTTGAGAACGGCTGTCACCCAATTTAAGTAAAAGATACAAAAAATTGTGTTTTTAAAAAACAAAACAAAATGTAAAAACACTCCTGCATTAAAATGTCTACTCCAGTGCAAGGACTAGTGTTTTATTTGATCAAAAGTGAAGATAATTAGAGAAATGCCCGGGAGTACAGTTTAAAACATTACTGTATGTTTACTCATCCGGTAAGCAGTGCTTAAATGTATTAGTTGTTCAAAATAAAATAATCCTAAATCCTGTGTATACTGTATTCAAACTAAAAAGGTACAATATTAGCCTTTTATTGATTCTGTTGGTTCAATATGTCAGTTCTATGACAATCAAATGTAGTTAAGTAAAATGTTCACAATTAGTTTTTCCCATATTTTGAATTATCGGAGCAATATTAATAATACTGAATAATCATAAATAATATTTATTACTATATGTCTTTCCTGGTTGAAGCCTCATTACAGTCCATGCAGAATCTAGTACCAAACAATACGTTTTGAGTAAGTGGGAAGTATATTAGTTCTGTTCAAAAACACAGTATGAGTGATCCATTTGCCTTACATAAACTATGACAAATACTACACCTAGGAAACAACCGGTTACTACTGTCTTTCTTCAGACAAACATGTTGTGCATCCAGCAGAGCAATCCATAATGTTAGGGTTATGCAACGCTTTAAGGGGAATGATCTTGTTTATCCGTCTGCCTGATAAGTGACAAATAGGGTTTACATTTGAAAACGGTGTCAAAGCACAATACGTCAGCCTTACTTCACAACATAACAGTTTGTCAACAACATCAAACCATTATAATCACCAGTCATATCATATACTTTAAGCTTTTGGATTATATAATCTACCCAGTTGTGGATGTTAGCCATAAGTACTTAAAACATATATTACTTAAACTGTTTTCATTACTTAAAAGGCATAACACAAAGATCAGTATTTTCCTGTCAAAAACAGGGTTGTTTTGATGTACAATCACTTTGTGTTCCACGGTCAATATTGACAACAGACCTCGTGAACCTGGAGCCACGCACGTCAGGCAGGGTCATCCACCGCTTGAAGCAGCTTTGTAAAAAAACCTTTTATATCTGTCAATCATTAACGCCTCCGGAGGCCAGAGGTCCACATAAATAGACCTACTGCTAGTTCGGGGAAATCAGTTTAGAAAAAAAATACAGTCAGACTGAGCAGGTCTAAAGGTAAGACCAAACCGAAGAGTATATTTGTCTGAAGACTGGAGATGCCTGGATTATATGAGAAGCTGATTTTGGTGGCAGCGGTGGCTCTGGCTGTCTTGGCCGTGGTGAGGTCGTCCCCCGTGGTGGGACCGGAGCCCATCCGCTGTGCCCCCTGCTCACAGGAGAGACTCAACGACTGTCCTGTCATCCCTGTGGACTGCAGGCAGGTGCTAAGGGAGCCGGGATGTGGCTGCTGCATGGCCTGCGCTCTGGAGAAAGGGGCGTCCTGCGGGGTCCACACGGCCCACTGTGGAGAGGGTCTCCGCTGCTCCCCGAGGCCCGATGAGGCCATGCCGCTCCACGCTCTGACCAGAGGACAGGGGGTCTGCACTGAGGACCAAGGTAGACTCATGGTTTCATGAATTTCTCTTTCTGCTAATTTGCTACTTTTAAATCTGAAAATGGCTAAATGTAGCCTCAAAGAAACACAAAAAACATTTCTGATAAATGATATGGTTTTCTTAACTGCTACAGGGGAAGATGATGTCCCCGACCATGGCTCCCTGCACTACCTGCTGGGTCTTAACCTTCCCTTGGACCAGGACACTGCTGAGGGCCAAGAGAGCATCAAGGCCAAGGTCAATGCCATCCGCAACAAACTGGATCAACAGGTGAGCAAACATGTTTACCTGACTGATGAAGATGATGTCATGTGATTTACTTTCCTACCACCAGAGGGAAGACTTGGTTTTTTAAGAGCTGTGGATTTTTAAGAGAGTAATAATGAATACTATTTACTGCAGTCAATATAGTGTTTCTGTTTATACATGGTTGTTATTGCACAGGGTCCCTGTCATATTGAACTGCATGCAGCCCTGGACATGATTTCCAGCTCTCAGCAGAAACTAGGAGAGAGGTTCACAACTTTCTACCTCCCCAACTGTGATAAGCATGGCTTCTACAAGTCCAAGCAGGTGAGAACTTAAGGATTACACAAGATTCAAAATTAATTCCACCTGTTAGAATAGACTCATCCAACTAGACGATTTATTCATGCGGTTACCCATCTCTGTTTCTCTCCCAGTGTGAGTCATCCCTGGTCGGACCGCCCGCTCGCTGCTGGTGTGTCTCTTCCTGGAATGGGAAGAAGCTCCCAGGAACCAGTGACCTGCTGGCTGACTCCTCATCAGAGTGTCACCAAGAAGTCACCCACTAAATGATAGACTCTGTTATCATCCATAAAATCACTTACGAACACAAATAGACACAAGGAAACATGTTTCATCAAGTGAAAGTGTCAATTTACTGATGAAGTGACTTCCTTTCATAAAACATACTCATTCACACGAAATGTAAGAAAAAGCTATTTCAGAGGGGGAAATTTCCTCTCATTTTATTTAAATGATCTATGTATCAAGACTTATTTATTCTTACAAGCATTAACCATTTTGTCATTTTAGATTTTTTATATGTTTGCCCATTTTTTTTTTTGCGATTGTAAATAGGGCAACACTGTATACATTTGTGTTTCTAACTAAATAACTCCATTGCTCAAAACCACAGGTCAACAACCCTGCCAAGCCCATTTCAGCGTCTTCAGGATCAGTTTCTTCTTTTATAATTCATTCAAAACTGGAGCTGTGCGCGGCAAGAAACAACACAGCCGCTCATTCATTCAACGTGTTGACATTGTCTGAATGTATCTCCATTGGCTTTTCCTCAATGGGTATTGGGGGAAATACTTAAAGTGCCACAAGTATGTGCATGGAGGCCAAGCACAAACATATCAGGGCTCATCCAAGCCACCATGAGGTTGGGATGGGTTCTTCTGCATTTCTCTACCTCTACTAGTCTCTGCAGGTCCACAGGTTTAGCAGAAGATTTCTAAGGGATTTTTCTCAGCTACACCTTCCTCACCTGGTTTTTATTTCTTTCCATCATCTGTTGAAGTATTTATTATGATTCACTTCAGTGTTCAGAGCGCATGTGCACTGAACCACATTGTTTGTGAATGCTATTTGCAAGAAATGCTGCTATTCCATTATTGGTTTTGTAGAAACAATGTATATACTATTATAATTATTTGGATGTGCACCTAATTAAATGTTATTTAATCACGATGAAGTCATGTTTTACTGTGATTTTAAACTGCCATAAAAGTTCGATACACACTTAAAGCAAGAAAAGGCAAATTGAACAGTAAAAAATACAATACCTGGATCATTTTATACTGCCTTTATTAAGTAAAAATAGACCTCTGAGGGTTGCATTGTACATGCAAACAGCATATTTACTAGTGAATGAGCAAGTGATGAAAATAATCACTGGCTACACAGAGATCAGAGATAACAATTTGTGGCCTTTATCCCAAAATATCAGCTTATGCAAAGTGACAAAATAACAGTAATAACCGCAGATCAGATCAAATGTCTGAGCTGCACAGTCTAGTCCAACTCCCAGAGGAGCAGGAAGCAACCTGGAAAAAAAGGAAGTCATAGTAAGGCACTGCATGCTTACTCTGAATAACATATACATACATACACACAATGTCTTTCAAACAAATCACAAGCATGTACATGCGTGCAATGCCACTTAATTGTGCGTGAATGAAGAGCCATCTCGTCCACGTTCGTGACAAATGTCTCTTTCTTTATAGTCAGAATGGGGCGTCTGAGAGGCGTATCCTCTCATTAGAAGTCATTCTGGTTGTGTCTGAGACAGAAAGCTTATGTAGAATCCATCCATCGCAGAAAACACAGTATCTGTGACACAGGGGCTTTCTTCCCCCTCCTAATACTCTTCCTCTGTTCCCCTTGCTCTGCCTCAGAAAAAGGTCCCAAAGGCAACAGATAGAAATAGCAAACATCCATTTATCGGCCGAGCCATCTCTTGACCTCTCTCCCAATATCCTCAGTGTCTCCATTTGTTTACAATTCCTCTTGCTCTCACTCCCACCCAACCTCCCTCCATTCTGCTTTGCTCCTATTGGCTCTCGGAGTTGTAGTACTGGGCGTCTCCTCGCTCCTTCACATCAAAACCTGGCAAAGGCTGCCCGTATTTGTCCACACACCAACAGAAGCCTCGCTTTCTGCCTTTGGATGGACGGCACTGAAAGTAAAGGAAGGGACAAGGTGAAGGGAGGGAAGAGAAATAAGTCGGGGGGGGGGGGGGGGGGGGGCAGCTAAATGTGTAAATACAGTTGAATATGAAGCATTATGAGTAACAAGCCACTTTACTCAATGAAGGAGAACAGTAATAGTTAAGAGGCATTAATGGTCAGATTGTGCTGAGTCGACGCAGCCTTGGTTATCCGACACGCTGTGGTATTTTCAGCTGCTTTTATGGTCTACCTCCTGTTACACACACATATAGAGACCTTTAAGGTAAACAGAACCTGGTAAAATATTTGCTTAGTCCCGTTTGTGAACAACTGAGAACCAAGATCTATTTTCAGAAGCTGGTGGCCAGTACGAATCATCTGTTGCTGATTATACCCCACAGCTCCAAATTATGGGTACTACAAATGACTTACAGAGTCTGTGGAGCCCAAGGGCTGTTATTTTACTGCCAATTTTACTAAAGGTCAACCTCCACTCTGGTAAAACATGCAGCCATTCATTTCAGGGGCTAAAGCAACAGTGCTGCTGCTCCACAGAGGAGGCAGAGCTGATCAGGAAGGAAGACATCCGTATTTAGTTAGCAAAAGGACTCTCTTGTTTTAGATCATTGTTGCATAACAAGTGGGAGGGGGTCAACGGGGGAGAACATCTTTTATCGGCTGTATAGAGGATGAAAAAATCATTATTATATCAAATATTAGCTGTAAGACAAGAGTCTTACGATTCTATTAAAGGAAAAACTGTTGTTGTATTCATAGTTAACAGAAAAAAGTTAATCTGCTTCCAGCATTACATATGTCCTCTGTATATGTATCTAAAAAGACATTAACTGTTTTTAAGAGCTGTAATAAGAGTTGCTTTAAAACATGCAAATGAGCAATGGTACAGTAGGTTCATTCTATATAAACAAAGACAATGAGCTTGGCGTTGTGATTATGAGATGATTGCAGGTAAAGGAGAACACTTCCATTAAGCAGAAGGGACTGCTATGTTAGAAAAGCTGCGTTGTGATGCAGTGGCGCGGGAGCCCTAAGTGCCTCCATATGAATGCGTCAGTACCACTCATTTATTACAACCCGATCGTGGGTGAACCATGTGAGCGTGGGGATGGCTGCAGCTCTATTTCTGTGCAGGCTTCTCAAAAGTCCAGCAATTATGGGGGGAGCGCATCGTGTGCCGGTGGCCACCTTGACGTCTGTCTCCCTGGGAGGGTTCCCGTTAAACGGCCATCGTCCCAGTCGTCAACCCCACTGGGGTTTGGCCCCTGTGGTTCCTGTCTCCAGAGCCAGTGGCTGGGGTCTACCTCACTGGTGTGGTGGTGCAATGATGAGGCTCTAATGACTACCAATGAATACAGGAGGACAGCTATAAATCTGTAATTGGGCTGCAGGAGACCTAAAGTTTGAGTCACTAGACTTCAGCATGAACCTTTATTAATGCAGCATGTAAAAAGGGAAATGTGGGTTTCCTTTTTACAGCCTTGTACAAAAGTTGTAAACAAATTGAAAGGTTTATGAAGTATATGTGTAGGCTCTCATGAAATGGAGGCAGGGATTTATAAGCATAGAGTGAATATCAAATGATGGTGTTTTGAATGTGCTTTTTACCTGCTTTTTCTTATAGAAGCCCTTCTTGTCACAGTTTGGTATGCGGAAACCTCTGGGGTTGAGAATGTCTGTGATCTTGAGGCTGCTGAGAATGCTCTCAATCTCTCTCCGACAGGGACCCTGCAGATGAGGGAACACATATGCAGTTACTCTACCAATACTTAAACATCTCCAGCTCCAAAATATATAGACAAACAGACAGTTTTCTTCTATGTTCTTCTTCAAATAAAGACGTTTAGAGAGCTGCACCACGTAGTGATCTGCCGTAATACCTGAACAATAGTGGCTGCAATATGAAAGAGGTGCCGGAAGAGAAATTAATTCATCTGACCGACTTGCAGCGGATTAACATTTTACCAAAGCTGCTTATAACTCTTACACTTTACACAAAGGATGGTGAATAAAGTGAATTCAAAGGGTTCAAAGTGGGAGCCAAAAGGCTTGTCCTAAAGTTCAAGTACTCCAGTCACTAATCAAAGCAGCCAGTCAAAGCCCATTACTAGTGTGTGCTCACTTCTCTGGCCAAAGACAAGATCAAAATAGCAGCAGGGCTTCCCAACAGGCACTCACATAGGCCAATCCATCATTTGCTGGCTCCCAGTACACCCGGCACGCGGACGCCTTGTGGCCAAACAACCGCCTGACCCAGGTCAGCCGCAGGGCCATCGTACCCGCTCGCTGCCATGCCATTCTACTGTGCACGATGCCTGCCAACCCCCAGCACCGCTACCAAAAACATTTCATCACCCACAAGAGGGGAAAAACACCAAAACGCAGAGGAAGAGGAGAAAAACATTCCTCTAGTATGCTACGAAGACATTCAAAATTGGTTGTGGTACTTACATAATCGGGCTCCTGTTTGGTCTCCAGAGAGAAGTTTTGTTGGTCTGTGATGAGTGGTCCCGGGAGCTCCTCCATTTTAAAGCTCTGGGTTCTCTTCTGCTGCTTCCGTCGCAGGACCTCTGACTTGGCAGAGGGGAAAAAGTTGTGAAGTGGAGGTCTCTGGGGTCTGTGGGTGATGGACGAGGTCTGAAGGCCTAAGTTGGTGCAATTTTGAACCTCATCCAGAGTTTCAAAATGATCTGCTGAAGTTTGAGAACAACATGTGTTTAATTACACAACAGTACACACAGATATACTCTTGCTGGAGGTCACCTTGAGTGCATGAGGATATATATATACATCTAAACACAGAAATATGCCAAATAACTACCCACCAAAGTGTTTCTACCATTAATTTGAATCCCTGTAGTCTCTTTGCTTTAAATGTATAAGCTGAATAGATATACCTAAAAGTGAAGGTCTTCACATTGAGTTACAAAGGGTAAACCTTCCTGACATTGAGTTGCAGCTTTCCATCAAATCCTCCAAAAACTCCATATTCTTCAAATGTCTCATTCTCCACCTTGTCTTTGCATTGATGAAGAGCATTTTCTGAGTGAAATAAATAAGTAAATGCAGCTTTGAGTTGCATTTACTCTCATGTTATGCCATGGAATTGGAATTAATTATAACTTGATAACTGGAAAAAATGTACATGAAATACTACTCACTTTTAAGATTACACGTTTTTTGTTTAAAGATGGTGACACAAATGTATAGTTATAATTTCACAATTATAAAGCATCTATGGTCTACATTTGAAGCATGGAAAAGGTGTATGAATTACCTGGCAGTTCATTGACTGGTGGAGGTGTTGGTCTGGCGGTAAGTCGTTTATGAGTAGCGTTTGCACACGTCCCCCTCCCGTCCAGCAGAGCCTGCAGAGGCTTCGGCTCCCCGGGCTGCCGCTGACATGTCAGTCCGGAGCCGCATCTCCCGGTGTACACGCCGCACGGCTGGCCGGAGCTCAACGCACAGGTCATGCAGCAGCCGCAGCCCGGTTCTGGGACATTCTCGGCGCAGTCCTTGGGTAAAGGTTTGCACAAAAGCCGCGCTCCAACATCACAGGGCTCGCATCTGATCACCGGTCCAACCGCACCTGATGATGCCAGAACAAAAGTCATGCAAAGTGCGCGAAAACAGGAATCCATTGTGGCGTCTGAAAGCATAAAGTGAGGAAGTGCGCTGCCCTAATGTGATGGTAAGTTTTCCCTGGACAGCATCTGATTCACATACAGCCGCCGGACAAAACGTCTCAATATATAGACCCCAGCGGCTGTAGGCACACCCCCGAATAGTTTGTGGTCTACTGATGAATTGCCTCGACTCCGTTATCCCTTTAAAACCATCAGAGCAAGTGCAGAGCAGCAGAATAACATTCAAGGTAAGGCTATAAGAATACTTCTGAACAAAACTAAATAAAGATTTTTCTGAAGCAGTTAGTTGAGGTCTAACAGTTCAAATGTGAATATTCAACATTTTAATAAATTGTCTAATGCAGTTTATTATGCAGTCAGGTTGTTAGACACACAATTAATTAAAATGTTTACCCAAGAGAATACACAACAATTGAATGTGTCTCTTGGTTTGAAAAGCCCACACATAAGTCCAATTATCTGTCATGCACAGATGCATTCATAGGGGGCGCCAAAGTGTGTGTGTGTGTGTGTGTGTGTGTGTGCGTGCGTGCGTGTGTATTTATTGTGTGTGCGTGTGTCATGAACTAATTTCTGAGTAATTCGGTGACACTTGCAGTGAATTTAAGAGGCTTAAATGGCTTCAGCTATTTGTTTGTGTGTTTCTCCATCGAATGTGTGTATGTGTTCACATGACTGTGTGTTTGTGTGAGTGTATCCATTTATCTGAGGCCAAGACGCTGCGACCCATGACCCTGCATGACCTGTATATGGTTTAAGCACATAAACTGGGACCAATCCATGCATAAGATGATTGTTCCAAGCTTCAATAGAGTAAGCCTACCCTGAAGCCTATGACATATACAAAAAACGTGTGGTGGAATTTTACTAAGTACATTTCTGTGGTACTTGTATGCCTACTTTAGTTTGCCCTTTATTATTCTACTCCACCTCATTCCAAGGGCAAATGTAGTGCCTTTTATACATTTAATTGATAACTAAAGTTACATTGCAGAATAGTACTTCACATGAAATGGAAATCTTATTAAATATTGTGCATTTTAATAGTTAAAACTACCAAACAGTGTGTGATACATTTTCTAGATTGAACAACCAGACTGTTTAAATGCTGCATAAACGTTAATTTTGCCCTTGTATCGCAATATTTGAACAACAAAACAATAAAAGCTGTCAATCTACATCAGGGGTGGCAAACTTTGATCTAAAGTGGGCCGGACCAGTAAAATCATAGCATAATAATAATAATTTATATATACAGTCTATGATAATAACCCACAGGCCCTACATAACGACAATATTTCTGTTTAAGTGCAAATAAGTAGGCTACAAGTACATTCGGAAAATGTCCACATGTAATGAGACGCAAAGCGTTATGAACAAACTGAAATGTATTAAGACAAACAAGTGCAATTTCAAGTGCTACACACATGTTCTTTACAACAGATCACAGTTCACCTGAACTGACTCACCACAAAATACAAATAAAAACGTGGGAGCTATTAAGTGAGGAGTTTGAGTTCTCATTCATAACACTCCGTTCGATGTCTCACTATGGGATGCGCCTCATCGCGGAGCAAACAGAAGCATCAATCTCATTACGCCAATCCTGATTGGCTGGTGATCTTGACGTCAACGTCAGGGAATCACCCCCTATAAGTAGCTTGCGCCACGACGCATGCGTTTTTCAAACACCTCTTCTCGCTTCAGAGCACATCTCTATAGTAGCCGGACAAGCTTAACAGTCCACAGACTGAACCCAAATCCAAAACATTTCGGTCGACGGGCGCTCGCCGGCTACTCTTCTGCTTCGCAAGAAGACGGTAATACTAACGCCAGTTAGTATTAAAATCGACCTCGCCGTTTCTTTCCCCGGAAAGTAAGGTAAGGTTTTGATTTTTCTCAAGCTTGCTACGCACCTGTTGCTAGCTAGCTTCCCCTTACTACCGACACCACGGTAGCGAGGACGCTTTTCTTTTTCTCTCTCACGGAGGAGAAAAGGATTAGAAGTATATTGTCACACCAGTCAATATTCTTTGAGAACAAAGGACCCACACCGTCCGTTTTTCTCCGGATTAAGGACGGGTTGGTAACACTTTTCTCTCAACGACGTACCTGTTACGAGCGGGTCCTCTCCACGCCACAAGGCGAACAAGATGGACGCCTCTCCCCCTCACACCAGAGGAGTCAGGGACTCGGAGGCTCGGTCATGCGGCTGCGGGTTGAAGATAGCAGGCACAGACTCACACCAGGTCTGCTCGTCCTGCCTCGGGCTGAAACACGCCCAGGAGGCTTTCGACAACCCCGGCTCGTGCGGGCATTGTGTCCGTTTCACCCGAAAGAGCCTCCACCGACGGCTAGCACACCAAGCTAGCTTGTTGGAACAGGACTCCCTGATGTCCACTAATTCGCCGTTTGGCAATCAAGACACGGGGGCGTCCGCCGCAGAGACTGAGCCCCTCACTGTGTCGGTGTAGGGCTCACTAACAGCGGCAGCTGCGGAACCGGGATCCCACGCCGTGTCAGGCCGGGACCCGGTGGCAGCAATAGACGCGGGAATGGAGCCCCACGCCTCACCAGGCGGGAGCTCCCGGCGAGACCTCACCATGGTCTCGCCCGCGGAGGATGTCCTGGAATTAGACTACATGGAGGACGAAGAGGACACCTCTGAGTCCCTCCTGTCTGATTCGGATGAGCAAGAAGAAGATATCTTCATGTCATCGGCTCAAACGGCAAAGCCGGGAGCGATGGCTGCTCTCCTGGGCGATAGCACACCAGCTTCGCCCTGTCTGAGCATGGACCTGCAGGCCGTGTGTCAGCGCACTGCGTCCAGGCTAGACATCCCGTGGCCTGAAATGGCCAAGGAGACCGCCAGGTCCCGTTACGAGGGGAAACATTCTCCCCAAGCAACGAGGACAAGGAGGCAACTCCTCCCGGTCTTCCCGGAGATGTTGGATGAGGTGTCGGTCTCGTGGAGGGACCGACCCTTTAGCAACAAGGCCCCAATCCAGGGGGCCTCTTCCCTAGACTGCGACGGTATGGAGAGGCTCGGCCTGCTCCGCATACCGCCGATGGAACTGCTGGTGGCAGCCCACCTCCTACCGAGGATGGGCCTGTCACCAAGCAGGAACCCCACGTTGCCAGCGAAGGTGGACCGTTTCCAGTCGACCATGACTGAACAGTCCTATAGAGCCGCAGCGTTGTCCGCCAGGGCTCTGAACGTTTCCTCACTGCTAACCGCATACCAAGCGGAGCTCTGTGAGGATATGTCGAGTAATCCTGGACCGGCCGTTCTGGACGAGTTGGCCGCGGTCACAGACATTTGTCTCCGTGTCCAACGCTGTGCCGTCCAGGCCACGGGCAAAACAATGGGGATCATGGTGGTGCAGGAAAGAGCTCACCAACCTCCCAGACCGGGAAAAGGAGGATGTGCTTGACATGCCCATCGTTCCGGAGGGGATTTTCGGCTCCGCTCTTGCCTCCATGCAGAGGAGATGCAAGTCGAAAAAGAAGGAGGACGAGGCCCTCCACCTCTGCCTCCCTCGAAGGGCCCAGCCGCTGCCTTCGCAGCGGCAGCCCTTCGTCCAAGCTGCCCCGAATCCTGCTCGGTTCAAAATACCAAAAACGCAGAGGTCGCAGTCCGCCCCGAGTCCCCAGCCCAGGCAGGGGACGAGGGCGAGCTGGCCTAGAAAATCTCCGGTTCCGGCTGCAACGCAGGCGCAGCCAACCCAGAATTTCGGCCAGCAGTCGAGGAAGAAGAAGCGAGCGGCGTGACAGCCCCTCCTTCTCCTCTCTGTGACAGAGCTGGAAGTCTACGGTTCCCCAGCTCTAAATGTGTTCCCGCCGCCTCGAGAGATGCCTCAACACCATCATCAAGTCCGCATAAACACATGTCACACACTTATTGATTTTTTTTGTCATAAAACATTTTCCAATGACGCATCCAGGCTTCGAGCCAAGGGCGCAGCTCGAAAAAATGAAAAGAAAAACAATAAAAACAATAAACAGTCCGTCAACTGTTCCCCTTCTGAGAGCAACTACGGCCTCTCTCAAAGGGCGGACAATTGACGGGTCTGTGAAGGCACCACCGTCACGCGCATGCGCAGTGCCGGCTGGGGCTGTCAAGGCACCACCGTCACGCGCATGCGCAGTGCCGGCTGGGGCTGTCAAGGCACCACCGTCACGCGCATGCGCAGTGCCGGCTGGGGCTGTCAAGGCACCACCGTCACGCGCATGCGCAGTGCCGGCTGGGGTCGTGAAGGCACCACCGTCACGCGCATGCGCAGTGCCGGCTGGGGTCGTGAAGGCACCACCGTCACGCGCATGCGCAGTGCCGGCTGGGGTCGTGAAGGCACCACCGTCACGCGCATGCGCAGTGCCGGCTGGGGTCGTGAAGGCACCACCGTCACGCGCATGCGCAGTGCCGGCTGGAGCTGTAAAGGCACCACCGTCACGCGGATGCGCAGTGCCGGCTGGGGTCGTGAAGGCACCACCGTCACGCGCATGCGCAGTGCCGGCTGGAGCAAAAGGCACCACCGTCACGCGCATGCGCAGTGCCGGCTGGGGTTGTGAAGGCACCACCGCCACGCGCATGCGCAGTGCCGGCTGGAGCCGTAAGGGCACCACCGCCACACGCATGCGCTGTGTCGGTGGGGATTGTCGAAATGGGGCACCACAGTGCTCAGACACTGGAGGGCCCAATAACACAACAAATAGAGACTCAGAGGGGAAGAGACGTGACATCTCAGCTGGCTCTAAGGAGCATACAGCGGGAGATGCTCACGACATCTGCTTGGGTTTCTCAAGACAGTTACACGGAGCTACAGACTCCAAGTCACCGTCACCCCCCCTCGCTTCTCGGGCTATCTGTATTCACAAGCCCGGGGAGAGTCAACCCATATTCTGGAGAGAGAGATTCTCTCTCTCCTAGAAAGGAGGGTTTTATCTATAATGCCCGCCGAGCAGAGTCAGATTACGCAGACAAATGTCCTCGTAAAGCACCTGCTCAACATGGGTCTCATAATAAAACTAAACCCCGCGTGCCACGGCGTGC